CTTTTATTGTTTCTTGCTATTGGGATGTGTGTGTGTTTTTGCGGTTGTTGCTGCTAAAGAGTAACATTCCTAAAAGAACCAATGCAGATCGATTTTCCTTAGCTTTTTCTCAACCTGAAGTGCCGAGACAAGCAAAATATGTTTCCCTTACTTAACTAAGCAAACAATGGCATATAAATCATAGAGGCAGCTGGACCAAGGTGTCGTTTTCATAAAGAGCCAGATTTCTCATGAAGGACAGTTTAATGGGCTGCTGCCAGCGAAATGTCTGCAGAGCTGGTAATTGCAGGAGGGCACACAAAAAGTGGTGTTACAAAAGTGTCATGTGGGATCTGAGAAACAGCCCCACAGCCAAGACAACTGGGAAAAGGAGACTGAAAAAGGTGTGTGCCTTAATAATTTGCTTCTTGAGGCTGATTGTTTGAAATAAAACTCTAAGTTTTTATTTTTAGCTTGTTCACATTGGCTGCAAGATCAGAGAAGTGTTTTTAGCTGTAATTTTATTTTGATCATGTTTATGCTGTGGCTTTGTTTCTCCTTTGATCATGCTTAAACATGTTTCAGACATGTTTGTTTGACATATGCTGTTTTTTAAAGCATTCTTCCACACTGTCTGCTTATTTTAAAGAAATGAATCATTGCAAAATATTTGCCGTCAAATTATTTCTTGAATTAATTTTCCTGAAATGTGCTTTCTGGACTTTTAGCCAATGGGAGACTACCTTTAAACAAGAAAGCGTTGAACTATTATAACAGCATTTCTGAGCACTTCATGGATTGGAAACAATTTTAGGGTCGCGCAATTTCTGATAATTCATACACGGAAATTTGAAGTCATCCTCTCTATCCACAATAGCTGCAGTGCACCAACTTTTATAGTTGTCACCAGTGGGTTTGGATCAAAGTCCCACTTTCCATTCAGTAAAACTTGCTTGAAATTCATTCCAGCACTTCCCTTGTGGCTGTGTTGAATGTATGAAATAGGTCAACCCTGACTGAATTATTTCAAACTTCCCATGGGGATCCCTTGATACCAAACCTGTTTAATTTTGCAGGGTAAGGCAGAGCAGTCTCAATACTTGAACATACACATTCAAAGATTGCATTCTTTCTTCTGCTGCATGAGTGAGCAATTAGGAGAGTCAAGGAGAAGTCCCTCATCTGTGGACAACATCTCCCTTCCCTTCCCTTCCTCAAAGAACAGGAATAAAAAAATGCAACGTAGTCCATGGAGAGAGTTATGTTGCGTGACTGTCGGCCATCTGGCTGATTAAGTCATCATGACCCTAAACAGTTAGTTGTAAGCATGGTCTGAAGCCCTGGAGTTAAATGCAAGTGTGCATCAAGCCTCTGGCAAGTCAAACAGCTCCTCCACTAATGAAACAATAAAGAAAACGCTACAGATCACTAGTTCACACAGCCCACTTCTTAGCTTTATAACCTATGAAATTATCAACCGTATTTCTCTCCTTCTCTCCACACATATGATCATGATGTTGCTTTTATGATCCTTATATTAATTCTGAACAGAAACAAACCTATTTCTATATGCCGCAGAACACATGTAGCCTGTTCTTCCTTTATTTGCTTCATTGCATAGACATAGATCTGTTATATGGAAGTGGGGGAAAAAAAAACCACCACCAGGTAACAAGAGCAAGGGCCTTATAACATGAAGAACTACTCTTTTATTGACTAAAACATATTGATTTAATGAGATGGCGAAAGAATGTGAGGTTTGCTCAGCAAGAAACACCAGTGTTACTCAACAAAAACTGTTCCGTGATGTACAATGGATGTGTTCTAATATGAGGCTGTGTGACTGCTTTATTTTCAGATATGTAGTTAGGATTATTAATCACTAATTGAAAATCTGAATTCATCCCAGATAAGCACTGGTAAGAAATGTGTACAAAGCATATTCACATGCACTCTAGCTATGGTGTTAGTTATATCTACCTTCCTCGCCCACCCCTTCTCTGCTACCACTCTGACAGAATTATTTGAAATGCATATATTCAGTTTCTTAATCTATTTTTCTATCATTCTTGTATCAGTCCTGCTTTAATACTAGACTCTTTTACGGTTTCTAGGTTCACTTGCAAAGTTATGAGGGAAAGAAAAGAATAATAATATGTTAACCGAGGGCAAGTTTATATAACCCATACTATATCAGCAACAGTATTGACTCAAATGAGACTCCCCACAGTATCTTCATAGGACAATGTAAAGTTAGATTTTTGATGCCTGATAATATAGTGATTTATTTTAGAATTTGATATCTTGTGATTTACAAAAGCCATTGCGCTAGAAACAAATCATTCAACCATTTGGGAATGTATTTAGATTTTTTTTTCATCCTTTTCATTGAGACCTTAAGAATGTAAAACCAGTGTATTCAGACAAGAGGTCCTCCAGATCCAGCAGGCCAGAACAGTTGTCTACTAATGAGTATCCTCTTTCTCTGATGTATCTTTCCACAGGCTGCGATGCAGAAATTTTGAGACTGTAGCCTTGTGTTTCTTCTGATACAACTTGCATTCAAAGCCCTGGTAGATTGTATATAGAATAATAGATATTTACCACAGTGTAATATAGTCTAGACATTATTTATCTTGGGCCTCCTGTCAGTGTAACTTGAAGGCTATGAAATGCATGCTAGAAATAAAAGAAGCGAATTTAGCAGCTTAAGTTACTGGGATTTGTGATGGAAGGCTTAAGCTGCTTACAGATTTTTGATGTTTTCAGATGTCTAAAAATATATGTTTAATACACAATAGGTAATAAACACAGTTCCACAGAGATTTATTCTGTGACCTGTGTTGTTCAAGATGTTCATAAATAGCCTGAAAAAGGTTGAGCAGTAGGATGAGAAAATTTTTCACACGATACTAAGTTATTCAGCATAGTGAGACAAAGGAAGGCTGTGAAGAATTACAAAAGGATCTTATGCAACTGGATAGCTAAGCAATCAAATGACAAATTAAATTATTCTTGATGAATGATGTAGTGATAAACCATGGGGAAAACCATGAGGAAGGCATGCCTATCTTCACATATAAAATGATGGGCTGTGGACTGAGCACTACCAATGAAGAGTGAGGTTCCGGGGCTATAGCACATAAAGTTCCATTAGAATTTCAGATTACTGCCTAGGAACTGTCAAATCCATATTAAATGTTAGGAATTAATAGAAAAAGAACAGAGAATTCAACAAAGATCATTGCTTTAGCCCTTCTATAAGAGCACAATTCATCCGCATCTTGAACACTATGGGTATTTCCAATACAGGAATTAAGAGACACCAAATGAAGTTAGTAAGATCAATGTTCAAAACACAAAATCAGAAGTGGGTTTTAGTTCATTAGATTGTGTATATGAGGAACAAACTCCAAAAGGACACTATGAATGCTCGAAATTTGCTTGGGTTCAAGAAGAGTCTAAAGAGACAACTGGGTGAAAAATCTGTTGAGAGTTACCAAGCACATAGAAAGCAACCAAGCTCAGGGAATCAGCTACACTGAAAATAGTTGGAGGAAGGGAGATTTTTCTGGGAGAGTGTTATTTGTACTTACCATATTCTTTCTTTATCCCAGATAATTACTTCTCGAATATGTTGGCGTCTTTATATTGATCTAAGTAAACCTTGGTCTAAGCCACTATGGTCATTCTCGTTTACTGTGTATATGTGTGTGTATATATATGTATATACAGACACACAGACACAGAGTACATGAGAATATATATATACACACATACAAAATTATGCAGTATGTACTCATATAATAGAAACATCTAAACATATACATGCATATATATAAATACATAAAAATATGTTGCTTACAAACACTGCCATCCTTAATAAGGTAATGGGTTTCATGGGACAGCTAGTGCAAACTGGCAAAACAAAGTACAGCTCATTATTTCCATTACTATATAGCAATAAACATACACTGAAAAGATGTTAATACATGATACTAAAATAGCTTATAATTTCACACAGGAACAGGACTCTGAGTAGTTAAATATAGTTCACAGTTAATTATCCTAGCAGGATGTAAAATGGTTATAAAACAGATTGGTAAATCTGTTGGGTATGCCTACTTTTGCCAAATACAGTGAAAGATAACAGCTGAAATATCTCTGTAAAATACAGTGATAAGCCAGATTCACCACTGGTGTGAATTTACTGTTATGATTTCTATAAAATTCTCTCTCAAAATTTCTTTCCACCATTTTAAACATAACTGATCAGTATGTCTGCATTTTATGTATTTTCATTTGTTGATCTTTATCATTAAATAGTGTTGTCACTCTAATTGTCAAGAAATAAAGGCTTCCTATGAAAAAAAAATTCTTTAAAAAAATGACAAGACAAAGCATTTCAACAGCTTGAACAGAAATTCACAAATGCATTTCTCTTCTGAAAAAAACACAAAAATGTTGGGATTTGGGGTGTCGTAGTCTGGGAGTAGACAATATCAATCAAAACTGTGGTTTTTAACTCAATGTTTTTGACAGCAACATAATATTTTTCTAGATGTAAAATGCTTTCTTTATATATTCCTCATTATTGCTGGTTAGGAATTACATTTGTCTCAATAATTCTCATTTTATGTGCGACACATACAGAAAGATTATTGACCAAAGTAAAAAAAATCCAAAGAAACAAAAAACTGTCAGTAATAAATACATGGAATTAAGAATCCATGCTGTAATGTTGTACAACCATTTGTAAAGAGATTTCATGAATGTTTAATTGGTCCAGTAATAAAGTTAAGATCTGTTCATTAAATATCTTTAGGAAACACCTCTATGTGTTAAAAATAACGTAAATACCCGTCGCATGTTAATGGGTGATGATGTACCTAACATAGTTACATTTGCCATTTGATGCAAAGATTGATTCTTGGGAAGCAAAATCACAATTCGTTTATATAAGGAAGGTAAGTGATTCAATTAATTGAGTAGTAACATGCACAATGGCATTGTCTTCTCAGATCCTAGATTTATTAGTGCTCACCTGATACCAGAGAGTGACAATCCAGAAGATGACAAAATCTATTTCTTCTTCCGTGAAAATGCAATTGATGGAGAGCACACCGGAAAAGCCACTCATGCCAGAATAGGGCAGATCTGCAAGGTAAAATGATGACTTCTTTATGTGAGATTGAATACACTTGCAGGACGCTTTGCAAGTGATTTTAGAAACTGCATTTTCTTGCCTGTAAACTATTCAGTATTAACACTGGCATTGGACTAAAGCAGGGATCATCCTAAGTGAAAAATAGTTAGAGGATAACACACAAAAAGGTACACTATTCTGTCCTTCTCTGTTTGGGGAAGCTTCACAAACTATGATGTTTTATTTAAAAAGTCATAGGCATCTTCTGAGGCTTAGAATGGATCTGCAAAAGAGAGAATCTTTTACAGGAATTGTGATACTTCCAGGTAGGCCAAAAATATTTGAAGAATTTACTTTTTAAAAGAATTTTATTACCTTTCCATTCTCACATTAGTGAAAAATTTAAAACAGAGGCAAAGGAAGATTTAACGAAACTGTTGTTTAAGCTTAGCTGTAGAAATGGGCAACCGTTCAGAAGACCCTTAGTGTCTGCAGATTGAATCATTCATCCGTACTGATAAACATCCAAATATTTTTCTGACGACTTTTAAAAAGATTTCTACAAATGAAATTATATTAATAAATTTTGTAGCTTTGGCAACTATGATGTTTACAGTAAAATTTCATGTTAATCCACAAGCACAATTTCAATTTTTCTCCTCCAATCCAGATGTAGCTGCTTGAAAACCAATTACCCCGTAAATATGGAGTCCTTGGTGCACTCTATTCATAAATTTTGCAGCTATAGAACGGATCCCACTGTTCTGGCACTTTTGTGTGCTTTGTTCACTTGCAGCTTGCATTTCTACTTTGTTGCTACCCAGTTAAGAATAATAAACCCCTTCAGCTTTACCAGGACATAGCATCCTGGGAGCTCTGGAGAAAAATATTCTGCCTATTGTATCTTTCTTCAGTGCTATATATGTATTACAATATACAATAGTTTCGGGGGGGGGGGGGGTGTTGTGTTTTTTACATTCTGTGCTACTATGAAATATGTCACAATACAATGTAAAATAAAAGCAATTTAGAATTAGTGACCTTGACAACATAATAATGGTTTTGTATATATATATTATATGTGTATATATAATAATTCTTTTCTCTGTTTTCTTTAAGTAGCACCTTGTGGTTGTTTACTGTATTTTCTCTGTACTCTGTTGATAGTTCAAACAAAGACTGTTACTAGATATTAAAGCAAAATACTTTTGTTATTAGAATGACTTTGGTGGACACAGGAGCCTTGTTAACAAATGGACTACTTTCCTCAAAGCACGTCTGATTTGTTCTGTGCCAGGACCAAATGGTATTGACACACACTTTGATGAACTACGTAAGTGGCAGAAATTACTTTGAATACAGAAATGTTTTTAGATATTATCCATATGAATTTAACTTCACTTTCTTTTTCGTCTCTTGTTATTGTTACAGAGGATGTGTTCCTAATGAACTCGAAAGACCCTAAAAATCCAATAGTCTATGGAGTGTTTACAACTTCCAGGTATAGAACGTATCATTTTACTTGCGTGGAAACTTGGGTGGCTGCTTGTTTTAAAGTGGGCTCTTTGTTTAAAATGTTTTTAAGAAACACAAAATTTTCTTAACCTTTGAACTGAGAAGTCAGTGGCAGTAAGAAGTAATGAATTAGGTTTCTTATGAGCAATGTACATCATCACTCTGAAGCTGGTAATCACAAAAACTATCAGTTTCTCAGGCTGTTCTTGCCATTCAATTGGCGCTTTATAGTGGGGATCAGAATTTGTAGCCCTTTCCACACAGACCTGGAAAAATAACACAAGCATAAATATGCTTGTTTGGGGGCAGGGTAAAATAGAAAATCTGTGGTGTAAGAAATTGGCTACTCAAGCAGATATTAGTAAAAAATATTGCTGAAATGTGGAAAGTTTAACAATCTTTCAAAAGTTCTGTTATTGAATGACATATAACTGTGACTTGAATGTTTTGATTTCATTGTGCTTGCACCAAGAACAAATGATACTTGTAGCTTTGGCCTGAGGAAGTTTTGCCATACTGGTTGCATTGCCACATTTACCTGTGAAGTACAAAAATTTTAGTTTCTAAACAGAAAAAATGTTTGTAGTGATAACCAGGCATAGAAGAGAGAGATTTGGAGGTGCTTACTGTCTTCTATAAGAAATCTCAAGGTAAGAAACAGCACTGAAGTTTGCACGTGTGCTGCCCAAATGACAGAAGAGACTGCTAAAAAAAACCAGAAAAATGTGAAGTGTAGGAAAGAACTGAATTGTCCTCTAGGGACAGCCCTGTTGAAGTTGGGGCTTTGGCCTTCTGGGGACAATATGTTTTAAATAGTGGAATAGCAGCCATCTGCTAAGGAAAATGTTTGAGAGATCGTATCAGTTATGTTGGACTTTCACAGGAGGTGAGTTAGGATTGCTCTGAGAGCATGTCAGAGTTTTGATAATCAGCACATGCAATAAATTCAAAAGCAACAAGCTGCTATTCCCGTAGCTCTTCCACTCGATTAAAGCAACTGATAATTTAAAGAACCTGGTTTGATTTCTTCTCCCCTCATTTCTAGTAATATCTTCAAGGGGTCAGCGGTGTGCATGTACAGCATGACTGATGTGAGGAGGGTATTTCTTGGTCCCTATGCCCACCGAGATGGCCCAAACTACCAGTGGGTTCCCTACCAAGGGCGAGTGCCATATCCACGGCCAGGAACTGTAAGTACCCTAAGAAATATAGTAATCTAAAAAGGGAAAACTGTGGAAAATACTTTCACACATTACATGGCCCTTGAGCTGAGATCCAGGAAAGAAATTGAAAAAGATAGTTAAATGGATAGGGTGACAGATGGGAAAACTAACAATTCTTCCAGGTCCAAAATGTACTAATTTTCTTGTAAAGTATGAAACTGCAATTACAACTTCATTTGGATTTTAATTTTGGTATTCATGTTAACAGCTTCAGCAGAAGTTTGAGCAATGGGTGGAGAACTTTACTGAAAGTCAAATGTTTAATAAATTACTCTGCATTATCCTTTCCTTGGAATTTGTCTTTGTTCCAAATATTGGCTGAGCCATTCTTAGTGAGAATGAACAGAAACAGAGCATCTGCCTGGCTGTTAAGAAAAATTCAATTGTTCTTGACATTAAATCTAGTACAGTAAAACAGATATTTCTGCAATGGATGATAGAGTGACTATAATAATTTCTAACTTCCACTGGAATTTTTTTAAAGTCTATGCTTCTATATCTGTTTCTCTGTTTCCAGTTTATGAGTGACTAATCTATCTGTGTATGTAAGACATCCATATTTACAACTCCCAACTGATGCCATCACATTCTAGAAATATTTAACTGCCTCTGAAATTACCAGTAGTTTAAGAAGATGGAATATTTATGAAAAAAGCATTCATTGTATACATTGGGGTAGCTCCTTAGCTAGGTCCCTTTAAGTTCTGAAATATCGTTGCTGAAGATTAAATATATGTGTACACATGTATAAATATAAACATATAAATGTAAGTGTAAATAATATATCTGTCTATAACATTCTTTTAAAAGTCTCCTTAAATAGAAGGCAAAAAGAAAATCATGAATAACTGATCTTTTCTTTTAAATGATCAGATTTTCTACTTTTATCTGGTATGTTTTGAAATTGTTCTTTCAAATCTGATCTTTCAACTGATCTCCAACAGTTAGACAATATGTATGCTCAGCCTAATGAAAATTGCTTCCTAAGTAAAAGAAAACAGTGGCTCCCTGGCAGCCAGATTCCTCAGCACTCCTCACTCCCTCACTACTACTGCTAAAGCGATTCCTAATTTTTTCCAGAGTTAAAATACAAGCTCTGCAGGTTAGGAGAGGTTTCATTTCTCATTTGATGCTTTTTTTTTTTTTTAATTACTATAGTTATTGCTGATATGTCAGAGGCTTTTTTTGAAGTTGTATCATTTTACATCCATGTGGAAAATGTGAATGAGTAGATATTTTTGGTATTTCTTGTATCGCTAAAGTCATCTTCTTTTCAGTCAGACAGACTTAATAAGTTAGTGTTCATTATTCTGTTAACTTATACCCCTCTTTGATTCCAGTATTGATTAAACTTTCTAAGCAAAACCAAATAATAGATATTATGTAAAACTACAGATAAAGAAGAATGTTACACATTTCTATCACAGAAATAGACTGAGATAAAGAACTGACTGCTGCACAGTGGCTCTGTTACGTTCATTCTGCAGCAGAGATCAGATGCAGCTCTATTGAGATTCTGAATGCACAATTTAAATATTTGCCCTAGAGACTGGCAACACAGCTCTGCCGCCCATGGGTTATTGCAAGACTTGTCTGAAGGTCTTGAACTGAGATCCATATGGAGAAGAATAACGTGATCAAATTCCCGAGAACAAGTAGAGAAGCAGAGACCTAAATCCAGCCCCTAAGTCGCTGAGTGACCTAAACCACCAGATCTTTTGCCAAAGTAGGGAAATACAATTAAGATACATATACTTTTTTTTTCTGGCTACCCTCTCAGAATGGATTTTACCCTTACAATTACACTATAAGGTACTTACATGAAGATTCACAAAGAAAGTGCGAAGATGTTCAGATTTCATTGTAAACATTTTTCTTGCCTAAGGGCAAATGTGATCCCAAATTACGCAATTCTACATAGCCCTGCAGTTGCATCATGTAGTGGAAGAGGCCATGCCACTGTAAATGATGTTAATTAAAGAATGGCTGAGGGCATCAGTTTCTCCTAGCCCACTGCCAGTGACTCTAATCCTGGTGTCTACCACTTTGAAAAAAATTTTTTTTTCCCTCACAGTTACTAAAATAATTTTATTGTATTAGTAGGATAAAACTGAATTTTTAAATGAGAGACATTTCTAGCTGAAAAGAAGCTTTTTGTTTCTAAAGTCATAAAATTGGATGTATTTTCAATGGCTTTGATGATCTGTTGAGAATAAAGAATAAAAGTTTTTGAAGTTCCTTTAGATGTCAGACTTGTGGCTTCCTTTCCCAAGAAACAGGGAAAGGGAAGGGAGAAACAAAACCTGATCTTACAGTGATTCAGTTCCAGATCTCACTGCAGTTAAACAATGCTGAATTATCTGAGGAATTTAATAGGTGAGGTGTCAGTAAACTTCTTGAGCATCTGGTGACTTGCTTAGTACGAGTTTAAAAAAAAGGGAAGTTAATGGTTCTTTTGAAAAGTCAGAAAACTTTGTAAACAATTCTACATCAGCTTCACATTTAACAAAGAAGTTGCCAGGGTTTTTCCTTTAAGATCTATTGAACTTTTTTTTTTTTTTAACCTTTTAACAATATTTGGGAGAGGAGGGAGGATTTTTGTATATACCTTATCATGAATGAGGCACCTCATCCTGAATTTATATCTGACTTTCTGTGAATTCGACTACGAAGCTCAAGTTTTCTCTGCTTCATGGTACCGAAAGTCTATCTTCAGTTATGACCAAAACACTTTTTGTTCCTACCAAAACATAGCTCTTGATTTATTCTGTTGGATTCTCTAAAAGGCCAGTTAGGGGATAGCCTAGTTACCTCCCCCTGACTGATCAAAAACCTTGACATACCATACTGAGGACCAACAATTGGAAGTGAATGTTAAATGCAAGAGTTCTTTGACTGTACTTGAATTCAAGATCAAGCTTGTTTCTCCAAACTTTTTGAGGATATTTGTATTCATGCCTATCTTTTGGCACCTGAAAACTTTTTATTTCCTTGCTATCAGTGGGATTGATTAGGTATACAAACATGACTTCTGATGAAGGACCTTGCCAATTGGTTTGACTTAGACCCACTAACATCAAAAGAAGTTCTGTCATTAGCATCAAGGATAATTCCTTTGTTGTGTATCCTGGTTTTGTGTCCATAACACAAGTAAACATGACAGGACTTTCCTCCTCAGGACAGCTATTCTGTTCTGTTCTGTTCTGATCTCTGACTTTATGTGAGTTGAGGTTCTTCTGCAAGCAATTTGGATTATGGATGGGCTAAATCTCACCTACTGATGATACCCATTTAATTCCATTGAAAAGGAGTGAAAAGGAGTTATAGCAATAAGAGTTTGATTTCATCTTGAGTTTCCTAAAGTGGAGTGGGATGAATGTAAGCCACAGCCTAGTCCAGGTAATGCACTTTAAACTTTAGATTTAAAGACACAAAGTTACTGTCATTTTTTTGATTCTCAGAAAAATAGGGGATCCAAGGACTAATGTGACTCTCAGAATTGGGCGTCTCATTTAAACACACAGAATTAAGACACTAATTCTATTTTTTTTTATTTTTCTGCATAAAATATAGCTTGGTCAACATTGCTGCAAGTAAAATCCTTTGTTAGAAAATGATCCAGAGAGTAAATATTCAAGCAATTGAAACACAGCTGAAATTCATTTACTTAAAATTGAAATGAATATTCATTTACTGTTTTTTTCGGTGTTTGCCCAGCTGCAATTAGCAATACTTAGTTCTTGTGTAGTGATTTTTATACTTCAACTACTTTACATAATTATCTAATTAATCATTATCTCATTAATCTCAGAAACTAATATTGAACTGTAGCTAGAATATTGAGATGTAAAGCAAACTTAAAATTGAAGTGTAGCATTTTAAACACAAGTTTTGAGACAGACAATGTTTTTTATTATAAAAAGCCTATCTGTTTTCCTCTTTGTAATATTCCTGTACAAGAGAGCAAGAACATATAATAATAAAAAGGCTGAAAAATATTGACACAATAAAGTAGATAACTAACTTGCTTTCTGCTTAGTATACCCCACATGCATTAATCAAATATTCTCCCTCCCTTTCTTCCTCCCTTCCATACCATGTAATGTACCAGAATGCGGCAATTTGCTTACTAACAAATATGCCAAAAGGGACAATTTACACTTCATCTGTCCATGCTGGAAGTGTCCCTTTGCTGAGTATAACAACTACTCCTTTTGACAACATTGATTTTTTAATTTCATTTCTGATGAATTATTAATAATTTGGATCAAGGTGATAGCAAAGACAATTGATTTCTTCTGCTGAGCATCTTGCAAGGTCTGGATTCTTGGTTAATAAGATGTTGTCCTCTAGGTTTTTAATTTAATTGAAAGATATTCTATATGTGGATATAAAGGGCAAATTATCTAGGGCATTTTAACACCAGCTGTTTATATCTCAGGTTCAAATGCCACAAACATAATTATTGTCAACTGGGTTTCAGAGTTTTATATGTCTTAGGTATCTGAACAGATTAGAAGTGGGTGACACCAAGTTCTTTGCTGAGTATCTTTGGACTGGTGATTTAATACCATTGTGGCTCATTTTCTTCATCCATTCAACATTACTAACACACTACTAATGGTTATGTTAAAATAACTTCTAATTGTTCATAAAATACTTACCGATTCTATGGAAGAGATGAGGGCAAATGGTGGTGATAAGCCAAAGTCCTCAAGTCTTCCCATGGGGACAAGTGGTAGGTGAAAGCAGAGGAATACTTTTGTGGCTACCAAAGCCATGGTCTTACCTCTTCTTCCCTTTTCAGCCTCTATTTTTCACTCATGTTGGGAGAATGTGAGCAAAATGTGAAAAGCAGAACCCTCCGCTTTTCACAGGTTAGAGGCAAAACTGTCTGGCCCACCCATGGCTACATAAGGGGACAAAGGGACTCTTTACTGTGTTACTTCACGGGGACCAACAACTTTTCTGTTACTGCTCAGCACACAACAGCGAGGAGTTATTTCAGTTCTTTAGCGAGACTCGTCTCGACTATGTTCACATGGACAGTATCATCAGCTACACTCACAGTCTTTCTTAAGAATCAATGGAGAGAATAGAGATACACTTAGGACATGACTCATTTGATTTGATTTAATGTAACAAGATCCATGTTATGGGGACTGCATAGATGACACAGGCTTGTTGAGACAAGCAGGAGTTTGAAAAGTCAGTAGAACAGGGAATTGTCCCAGCATTTAAGGATTTGGTTCCCCAGAGAGGAATTGGCTTCCAGTCAACTTCTGAAGACAATACTTTGAAACTAAGATGGTGACATAATTAATTTATTTTCTGTTGTATACATAACCAAATACTGAAATTCCTTGCCTCATATTGAATGATTTTAGATAATTCAGGATTTCTTCCTTCTGCCACTTGAAGTTTAATACTAATCAGTAAATGACTGAAAATCCTTTCTTACTACATAGTAGTAAGAAAAATTATGTATGAGGATCATTTACATTCTGTTAACCATATTAATTTAAATCCAAAATGAAAAAAAAAGAATAGAGACTTTTAGTGACAGAATTGACTTTTACTGTCTGTCATGAAACACTTAGATCCTCTGTCATATTTAATTATAGACTGCAGTAGTTGAGGTGATTGTAATGAAATGGATTTCTAATATGTTTCTAGTAATCAATAATAAAATGGAAAACATTTTCTTTTATATTTTCAGTGTCCCAGTAAAACATTTGGAGGCTTTGATTCCACCAAGGACCTTCCTGATGAAGTTATAACATTTGCAAGAAGTCATCCAGCCATGTACAACCCAGTATTCCCCATCAACAACCGTCCAGTCATGATCAAAACAGATGTGGATTACCAGTTCACACAGATAGTAGTAGATCGAGTAGACGCAGAAGATGGCCAATATGATGTGATGTTCATTGGCACAGGTGAGAAATCTTGAATCTACACCTTATGCTTCTCCAGGCATTATGGAGACATAGGTCAGATCAAATTTAATACTCTGAAAGACAGAATGCTGACAGAACAGTGTATACTTGTGAAAATTTGGGGCAAGACTCAAAACTGTGCATGTGAGGAGGTTTTTGTTACATACATTTGCAGTTGCAGGTTCAAGCTGTGGCCTGCATAGCTTAACTCTTTAGGAGCTTTGTCAACTGGATTAAGATCAAACCACTCTCTTTTCAACTACTGTTATTAGGGGATTTTATTAGAAATATCTTGCCTTATTAATTATAATTTAGTATTAAAATGAAGGTTTTGAGGTACCTATTTTGAAGTGCAGCATAAGAGGTATTAACATGAATGAGGCAAGTATCCAGGTACGGGAAATGTCTTGTGTGCCTTTCAAGTATTTCAAGTATTGCCTTAAGATGCCCAGGTCTTTAGCCAGAAGAGTGCATCGTTTTACTTAAGATGAAAATATCTGGCACATATAAAGTGTTTTAAGAAGAGATGGTATTCAAATACAAACATGATATCCTTTCCAAAGCTTTTGTGGAATCATACAGCTTGGATATTTTATAAAAGTGGAAATATGCACTCAGAAAAGATATTTTTTTCCAGAAAGGTAATAATGAGAAATAAAAGTAGCCAGAAATTAGCTGATGTGCATTGCCCTAATTTCAGTGGCTTCAGAGCTATGCTGATTAGCAGTTGGTGGATCTGCTGCTTCACCTTTGAAGATTTTCCATTGGTTGGCTGGTGTTTCAGTTATGTTGAATAAAAGTACTTTAAACTTCTATTGAACATCATTGCTAGTAATTAGACATTGGCATAATGAAGCCAAAACAAATCAAACCAAAGTCCCACTGTATCTTTTCAGCTTTGGACCAAAAAATATCTGGCTGGCTGTCTTATAACAGTCCAATTTTTGACTTGCTTTAAGTATAGTTCTGGTACTCTAGACCTGGGGTCAGATTTCTAAAGCAATAAATCTCAAGGTCTCTTTCATGTTGATGCCTGAAATATATTATAAGAAAACTGAGAGCTGATAAAGCTCTGTGTACCAAACATAGTGCATGCATAGCAATTCAGAACATTTACTACAGGAAATGCAACTCTGCAGAAAGCGTTCCAGCTCTTTAAAAATGTGAACCGAGTTATTAGATACCAGTGCTACAATATATTCTTACATAAAACATTGAAAAGTAGTTTCATATGATTTTACACAACACATATATTTTCCATCACACATTAGAGACATCAATGCCATCTGCAATTGCCAGTGTTTTGTGCCTTTCAACAAGTCTTCCATGACCTGATTCAGCCTGGAAAATAAAATTAATGGCAATACTCCCTTTGGCTGTGATGTGAGGGAACAAGCCCTTCAGCATCCAGATTATGATGCTGAACAAACATAAGGAGCTGATTTATGTCTACATCTTGAGCACAAGAGGTGGCATTTATCTCACCAAAGTTTGGCATTTGGTCTAAGAAAGACACATTGGTTTCTGCATAGTACTTCCAGAGAGAGATTCATTGTACTTTCTTTGAAACCTCTGTTAGAGTAAGATGAATAGTTATGCAGAAGTTCCTATCTGTTTTCAGACAGTGCAGGAAGACCTGCTTAAACCTGAGCTATAGCTTTTAGATAGATATCATTATGTATAGTGATTCTTATCTAAATTAGTCAAGTAAAGTCTCCCTCTGAAAGAGCCTCGATGATACCTAGCTCTTACTTTTGAATTGGGAATTTAGGCACTCACTTAATTCCCTAAACCACTAATACTCAGGTGTGTGGTAAGTGCTGTGGATCCTGTCCAGCCTTGCTGATAGCTGTGCCCAAGAACTGTAAGAAAAATACTGAAAGATTATTACTTGCACTTGCCAAAAGAGATTTCAGCACCAAAACCCTGGCTTTGTAAGTGTAGAGTGTTATTATTTCTTGAGATATTACTTTTGTCCATAGAAAATGTTCTTTTTTGAGCAGGAGGTCATACCCTCATGGGACAAGAACAGGCGTTACAACACCTGTGCTTGGAGCTGGGGCACAAAAGATGCTCCATGCTCCTTTGAGCTCACTATCCTTATTGCGGTTTTCAGAATGAGGAGAGGGTATCTTCCGTGCACGGGGAAAGGAAAAGAGGCAGAACTGAGGCCCTGCCTGCCTTCTGCCAGAAAGCTGCACTGAGCTGGCTGGTCAAAGTCAAAGGAACCAGAAACAGATACACAATCAGTGCGTATGACAACTTCCCCAAGGAAAGAACAAGCCGGGCAGTAGATTAGGGACTCTAGTCAGAATCCAGTTTCCCACTTGATGATCTGAATCTATGACAAAGCCAGAATTAAGCTCTCTGGGGTATGACTGGGTTTTTCTGTGCAGGTCTGTCCCATCAGATTAGATACATTTCTCTGTATTTTCCCATTGCTGTTGCAGCAATCTACATTATTCCCACATGCTACTGGACTTCAATATGTAGAAGAAACACTTTTTTTTCCCCTTTTCATTGAATAACTGATGATAATTGAACACAACATAATTAATAGCACCCAGTGTGGTCACATTTTCCTTTCCTGTGGGTGAAATCTTCAGCCGAGCAGTTTCTTTCCCACTGTGATTGTACCAGTGTGTTTCACAATGGAAATAAAATCGTATCGACATGCTTGAAATTTTATCAGAAAAAAACAGGATTTAAGATATGCACTTAATGCATATCCTGAGTGTCTGATGTTTGGAAGCATTTGGCGCAGTCAAAGTATATCTGTCAGTAAAGCAAATTAATAACAGTAATCTTATCTTACTGAGTAGAGCCTATTGATCCTAAAGGAAAAGCCTGATTCCATTTGTGTGAAATTGTTTGAAATACTACTCTGTAAAACTTGATCTAGAACTCAGATAAAGCCCCACTTTTGTACCTGTGGCCTGACCAGAGTCACCGTAGTGATTAACAAAGCGTATCTTTGACCTCAGAGGCTTTCTTGAGCATCAAACAACTGTAATTGTTGCAGGATCCACTTAAAAGTCAGACCTTTTTTTTGAAACATTATGTGGGGAGCTCATGTCTGCTTAATGCCCACTTAGGTTCCACAGTTTCCTTTGTGTTGTTTTGTCAAAAATTCCCTTTTATTTCTAGAATATGGCATTTGATGCATTGTGACTGAGGACAGTCATAGTCCAACACAGAATACAGTCATGACACATTGCTATACTGTTATTTTTATTAGATCAGAGTTCTCTTTTTTTATCCGTACAATGTATTTTCCTCAAAACCACAATCATCAATTTATCAGGATAATTAAGGAAATGAACTCATCCATTACATATTACAAAAGTAACTAACATTAAATTATCTGTTGTTCTGAATTACTCTCTTAGAGAAATGTAGATTTTTTTTCTTCTCATTTTAAATTTTGTATTGCATTTGTTCTGTATTATTCTCAATATTTCTTCAATTAAATATATTCAATTAGTAGCAGTAACTATAATGAAAAACACTTCCAAAACATCTAGTATATTTTACTAGCTTAGTTTGTACCTGTAGTTGCCTAAATAAAAAGAAAGTTGTACTTTGATTTGTTGTTGTTGTTTTAAGAAAGAACTGTGATTTTGTGACTAATGAAAGAAAACAGTGAGGTACATATTTTGGGGGAAAAAAAAATAACTTCCTTCTAAACTTCCAAAAATATGTCCTTAGAAACCAACATCTGCTTAAAGGGGAGCAGATGGAAAAATGAAAATCACAGTTCTACAGGATATTCTGAGATTTCTAGAATATTTTAATCTGAATTCATGTAAATAAGTTGAAATACCAGAATTTTCTCAAGAAATCAATAGCTTTTAAGTTAGCCACCTTATAAAAACATTTTCAACCTGTGTAATCTATTTGTTTCAATTTTATACATATTTTCAAAATAGAAGTAGTGACTTGTCATCTTTTTAATCAGAAGTTTCAACTAACACACACAAATATATATACATACAAAATATGTTTTGATTTTGTGCAATTGATGGTTAATTCTTGTTTTGAGAATGTTGACCTTTACAGTTCTGTTACTTTGAGAATTTTATCCGTTTTAAAATGCCTTATATTTTCCTAAACTATTACTGCTATAGAATGTGCAACAAGAAAAGTCCTCAGGGACATAGTTGTTATTCCTACGATACACTTACATGGCACTACACTTGGCTGGTTAAAAAGAAAAGTCATATACAGAGTGTTTCCATTTCAGAGAGTCTGCAGTGATGTGTACCAATCTATAAATGATTCTTTGTTGTTGTCCTTCCCTGAAAATTCTGTTCACAGAAACAAATAAATCACAGATGCAGAAGCTGTAAAACAGAGATGGTCTTAAGTCTCAACGATATTCACAAAACTAAAGGCTGTAGCTCTGGAATTTCAAGTGTTGGCCCTGTTCATGTTAAAGCCACTTGCAAAACTCCAAGAATGTAAATGGAGATAGTATTTAAATTCTGGCACACACCTATTTCTAAACAGAAGATACAAGTTGTATTGCTTTTTACCCCTCAGCAAAGACCAGTATCAAACACACATAGAAATATGGATGCCTTAAGGGGCTTATACATCTTAGGTACTTTGTTTGACACAGGGAAGGTCGCATGTACTTAAGAGATCTAACAGCTTCATCTGTCTAACAACATTTGTCCAGATGTTTTTATACCCATACTGAGCCTTCTGACAACATTTTTCACATGCATTTTAAGAATGACAAACATCATATTCAAAATAGACACTAAAACCTGTATAGGTAAATTTAGTGCATTTCCTACCTCAATTAAATGACTGAAACATCCATCGTTTTATACTGTCATTTAAATAGTATTTCAGTCTGTTTCATTCTTTAATAACTATAGTAGTATTTATCTTCTCTGTTGCATTTTGATAATTGAAAGGTTTCAGTGAAATGTCCTACTGATATTCAGTGTTTTTCTAGGTTATTTTAAATAGCAGTTGGTATTTTTAACAACGAGTGCTCAGAGATATGTAACTTCACAATATTTATATGTGAAATAATTACATACTACAAGAGACTGTGGCTTCTCTGAAACTGAAGTATGTGTCTTAAGAACCTGAAAACTTCTTTTTTTTTCCCCCAAGATATTGGAACAGTTCTTAAAGTGGTTTCAATTCCTAAGGAGACTTGGCATGAATTAGAGGAAGTCTTGCTGGAAGAAATGACAGTCTTTCGGGTAAGTGCAGCTAAATTTCAAGTGTCAGGTTGTAGATTTCTCTGTGGACAGCTGCAAACTAAACCTCTGGCAGTCTAGCCAAGGAATAGCCTGGCATACCCCTTTAATTAGCTTGTCATTTACAGACCCAGACACTAGTCAAAATAAACCTTGAAACTTTCAGTGCTAGCTAGAGGTTAATGATAAAAGAAATGGCATTCTGGGCTCTTGTTTTGTGGTTTAAAATGTAAATTAGCATCTCTGAATCTTAGAGCTATTACATGCTGTAGTTAAATATGTATGTGTGCAAGTCTGGGAATAATGCCTGTCTTGTTTTCTCCCACAGAGATATGCAATACACAAATTTTACAGTTGTGTCAACTCTTAACACTATTCAGACTATCAGCATAATGTGACTAGGAAAACACTTTAGGAAAAAGTGATCTGCATAGATTTCTTATGCCTAATAACCTGAGAAACAAAGAGAGTGTTTATATTTTCAAAGATGACTTTAGGGTCTTATTTTCATGGTTTGACCTAAGGCACCATAAACACCCCCTAATCTTTAGTACTTTTTTGTGAAAATCAGTCTCTTCCATTTTTCCTATCATCTGAACCACCTGAAAAATAAGGCATCTCACAGGCACTCCTGCAAGTCGAGGCTGGGTAAACCTTTCAAACACTTTCCAGACAGAACCCAGGGATGTCTTGTGTTTTGTACACAACAACAAATCATTTACATTCCTCACGTTATTCTTTTTGTCAGTACTGTTTTATGGCACCGTTTCACAGGCTCCAGGCTTTCAGGAGGTTGATACTTAGCTGAGAGCGTGAGATTAATCTGACAGAGTGAAGATGATGTTTGCATGCTCAGAGAGCCCCACGTCGCGTGGTCTCACTACAGATGTGCTGACAAGGACTGTGCTCCAAACCTGCCACAGGAGCCCAGCCACCATGTCCTTATCATACTCAGTTGCCACCCCTTTATCTTTGGTTTCTGAATAGACACAACACATCTAAACAAAGCTTATGTATCTTTTTATTATTATTTTCAATATTCTTTTTTATTTTTTTTCTTATGTGCAATCTTGCGTTTACTGCTACCAACCTTGCACAGAAACCACTGTTGTGAGTGCAAGATACCACTGAAAAATTAGTATCTCTGTTTCTACAATCCATGGGTTTTTTTGAGGACAGAAATGTGGAGGGGGTTCGTTCTTTTTTTTTAGCAGAAGAATAAAGTAGAAACTATGAGGAGAAAATGAGACAAGTAATTTGTGGCTCCCAGCTTTTTTTCTTTTTTGTACACGCAAAAGTCATTACATTAATGTAGGGTAATTTGGCAATTGTTGATAATGTATGAGTCTCTTCCCTAAATCAAGTAGAAGTGCCAAACTAAAGGAGATCAGAGAAATATAAAAGTGAAAGAAAGAAAATAAATGGAGTGAAAGTTTTATTTCAGAAAGGCTTTACAGAAACAGAATGGTTAATGGCAAATTCAAATCTGGTATTTTACTTTACATGTGTATTTATTCATTACACAAAAGGATTCTGGTATTCTGATTTACTTGAAAGCTCATTTATCTCCTTTGGCATGTATTTAAGCCTTAAAGAGGGCATTAATATACTTCAGTGGAGTAAACAGAATTTGTATGCATAAGATATGGATCTTTCAATAGGGAATTTGCAACAGATTTTACGTGTACCTTCACCAAATGTAAGTTTTCTTTAGTTACTAAAGAGTCTACGTGCATCATAAACAATGGATTTTGATGCTTAAACTGCAATGTGCTGAATACAATGCTTTTCATTTACAATTCCGCAAAACTGAAAGTCTTCCATATCTGTTACATTGATAACAAATGCCTCTTTTAACCCCATTTATGCAATATTTCTCTGAACAGCTGAGCAAACAGACTAATGAGTTCAATTTTCATTCAAATGTTACATTTAATTGATGCTTTCTAATATAAGGTCTATTAACCCATTTGTAAAGGCAAGTCCACATACTTAACATTCACTGACCCATATCAAATTCTCTCAGGATGAGCAAGTTGAAAGCTAGACAGGTGTAAATTTTAGAAAGGACTTTATAAATGTACATAACAAAAAGTATGATGCATGGGATCAATAGCAGATTTTTAGATGGAATAAAGTTCATACAGAATTGACTTGCACACTTTGTAACCAAATCATGCCACTTTTACTCTCAGGATTAAAATCCATTCAAGCAAGTGGGCCTAAAAGGTGTAACAATCTTTTAATCAGATCTAACATACTTACTCTGTTGAATATTTCCTACAGTCTCTCATGTAAGAAAGTAGATACTGGTTTGGCATCTGCTTGCTGCAGATAAGTATAATTGAGAGTAGACTTGGCTAGGAGAACAATAACTCTCCTAGTGACCCTTTTGTTTGATTAAATAATGAGTATTCCAGGGTGCAAAAAACCTCTTGCTAGTTTTAGTTCCGTGTTCTGCAAATATGAGCAACTAACTTCTTTGTATGTGAATAGTGTGATGCAGTCAACAAGATTATGCTTGGGATTAAGGCTTGTTCTTATGAATAAAATTTCGCAGGAATGGGCTTTTCACCTTGATGTGGTTAAAACATGTTACTTATTTCAGTGTTATCCACTTAAATATATAGGATCTATGATACAGCCATTATTACTTTTGTATTACCTGGGAGGTTCTTTAAATGTGGTTTTAATATTAAGTGTAGAAATTAATTTCAAGATGTGAAACTAGTAACAAAGTAATCACAATGAAACTGTCATAATCATGGAAAATGATATGTCTGCAATCAACATAGCAATCAATGATGCACCCGGATATGTACATGCATTCTAATTCACTTAGAGCTAGAAACTATTCCACTGCAAAAGACAAAAAGAAGCACTATTACTAAGGAGTGTCTAGTTTAATTTCAGGGTTTCTAGGTTGGACAAATAGCATTCGAGCAGAATGTTTATGTTTATAGAGCTCTTTTTATATTTTAACTCTTTTTTCCCTCCCCCCCAGGAATCCACTGTTATTTCAGCAATGAAGATTTCCACAAAACAGGTATTATGTGCACAAACTTTAAATCACTTTTAAATATTTATTGGTCTCTGTCTTTTAGAGACAGTAACTTGGCAGTCAGCAGAGACATATTAATTACAGCAGCAGTATCCCAATCCCATCCCTTTACATAAACATAGTAGTTTCTCAGGAAAATGTGGCATGCAAAGGAGAAAGGAAAAGTCTAGTTTGTGTTATTTACTGGTAAGGTGGAAACTAAACACAAACTAACCAGCTGTCTGGAGGCTCTCTAGAAAAAAATTTCCACATTATGGAATGTTCTCATGACAGAGAAATTGATCAAAAGGAGTGGCCAAACTTGGTCCCTTGCTTTAATGGGACTAGTTGTAGTCTCTGTAGGAATAGTCTAGTACAAAATGCAGATCGTGGAAGCAAAGACTGAAAATAAGACGTTCTCCTGTCTTTCTGTCCAATGCTCATTCCATTCCTGGATGTGCACCATCAGCTTTAACAAAGAGGGTAGATTTGATTTAGTGCAAATTTTCCATGGCCTTATGGTTAGGATATGCGTTCCAGACTCCAGAATTCATATTTCACAGTTTCTGTTGAGTGCACTAATAATTAACTTCTCAAAGAAAATATATATATTATACCCTTCATTGTAGACGAGACAATAACTAAAATGAACTGGATTTCTTGACGAAAGGAGGCAAAGTTTTGCATGATTTACCATAAAGATGATTCCTGCATTTCTGAGTGAATATGGGCAATTACTATTAGGCTTCTTTGTGAAGCAGCTGATGAATTACGTAGTTGTGCAAAGAACATTGGGTTGCAGTCCAGAAGTAAAGTGGATATTAGGGGTCTATCTTCCATTTCTGCCTGGAATTAGGTTGATGGATCCCAGCCACTGTCACTTCTTATCTCAGAAATCTAAGACATAAAATTTAGTGTCAAATAAAACTTTTCTTTTTCATTTTCATATATATGTTGACTTGGAGCCTAATTCGGTAAATACAAGCAACTTGTTCACACTCATGAACTTTTCATGTCATTGTCAGTAAAGAGGAGATTTGGTATTACTTCCAGGACTGGGAGCAGTAAAAATTGTGTGAGTTATAAATATGACTTAGTTAATTCATCTTTTTCACTCTATACATTATTAAACAGAAGTTGAATTCATTCTGGAATGGACTGAGCCCAGTATTAGGTTTGAAATGCAGCATATTTAACTCAGAATTCACTGTATTTAAGAAAATTGTCTGAAAATATTTATGTATTTGACACAAAACACTTTGGGGACACTTCTAACATAGTTTACCACCTAAAAAAGCAAAAATGGCAGCACAAAAAAAATTGAACACTGGGATATTTAAAAACAAACCTGTCAAGTTGTATATATGTTCACATCATACCAAAATGCACTGCTTTGGATTATTTTTATAAGTACATTCCCTTAAAGCAGCCAATCATATTTGATAATAGACCATGCATTTTCATACAACTTCTTCTTCAAAGCATCTTTAGTTATTCAGGAGAGATTACAATTTTCCCTAAGTCTTTTGAAAACAAATTTACACTGCTAAAATAGTCTAAAGCTAAAAAAGAGTATAAAACACAAGTTATTCAGGCAGACTTAAGCTCATGAAAAATCAACCAGCCTCAGGCTAAAAATGACAGAATCATGATACAATATGACAAGCTTTTGGCACTGTATCTCTGTATCAAATAAGTATATGGCAACGTGTTTCCATTTTATATTTATGATTTTAAAATACTGTAGCTTTATAACTCAAACATTTCACTCATTGTGTTCTGATAAGCAGATCGTTTTTCATATAAACTGCATGATAATTCTATGCATTGTAGAAAGCAGGAGCATGAAACGTAAACAGTAAAACCAGCATGTCCTATTGAATAACTTTAAAGCAATCACTTAATTTTATTTTTTCACTAACAATTCTTTCATTCAATTATAAAAACATGGTACTGTGAGTTTCTTCTTATTTTTGAATGTTTTACTACACTGGTTGTTCAAAAATACGTCTTTTGCCATCATGCTAATATGATATGTTACAAATGACTCTTCTTCCCAAAGACCAAAATCTACAGATTCTTCGGAAGCAGAACTTAGCTTAAGTTTTAAATTACATAAAACTGTAAGGCTAACACGACTGTCTCTGTAAGTATGAATTTGACCCTTGTGTGAGAGTGAATTTGAGCAAGGAAATTTAGCCTTTATGTGCAAGACTAAGCCTTTCTCAACTCTGCTGTCTTTAACTCACAGGAATTATATTTATATCTTCTTACTGAAGTTACGTATTCCTCCTAATTGTGTTCAGAACCCTAGGCTTGTGTTACCTTAAACAGCTTATGCATGGTTAACAATAGACACAAACCTTCAGAGGACAGCATTCTAGAGCCACTGTTAACACCCTGCAGATGCCTAAATTCACAATTCTGTGAGAGCCAGGCTTGCAGGAACTCCTGGCTACCAGTTGGCCATGAGCCTGTCAGGTGGGGCTCCATAATTTTTCCCTTGATTTAAAAATCTGGAAGCAGGGCATAATGTCAGGCCTGGCTTTCAATGATAGGTGATTTTTGTGGAGCAAGCTCTCATCTTTTTCTCAGGGTAAGGTTTGGGACCCTCTGTTTCAGAAAGCTGTTGGATTTCTGGGAAGATGGGAAAAAAACAAGGAGATCCTTGGCTGACCAGGCCAACTCCTTGTCTAGTGAACTGCTACAAACAGCTTTTGTTTCTTCTCCGTGAGATTCTCAAACTCAAGGCAGAGACGTTAAAAAGACCTTAGTGACTACTTTTATAGTATTTTTCTCAAAGTACTGAATTTTATTCAGAGATCACCATTTCTGTCCATAGAAAGGACCAGCTCAAAATGGATATGTCACTTAAACGGTCCCCTGAACTATTCTGCATCAACTGCTGTTGAAGACATAAAATTAAATTAAATGGGATTTGAACCTAATGTTCCCTAAAGTTCCTTTTTTAAATTCTGCCTAAGTTCTTTTTGAGCATTACATTTTTTCATCTCTCTTTTTTTTTTAAAATTGCAAATGGAAAATTTTCAGTTCTCTCTTTCTCTAGTTGGGAAAGACTGCATTTTGGGCAGCATCATGGGGCAAACAGAAACCACTGGATTGTTTAAAACATTAGTCTCCTCAGCTTTTCTGGGGTTCTGATACTTCTGCAAGAACTTTTAGAGGACGACTTTCCTCCCCCCACTCTCATTTGATCTGACAATCAGCTGATTTATTAAATTAATAACCTCTTGGGAGAGACTCTTTGCCCAAAAGCCACTTTGTCTGTGTATGGCAAAGTAAGGTCAGACCATTGATGCAAATCGTTCTATTACTATTTTCCGAATTTCATGCTGCCTGGATTTACATATTATTAGTGTCCAGAATAATGATCACCAGCTGGAGTCTAAAACCATGATCAGAAGAGCAGCAAACAGGGCAGCAGCCTTTAGGCTGTGCAGCACTTGAAACACATGCTGTAGTTCACTGACTGAACTTTATGAACTTATCTACAAAGAATAGAGTCTTTAAGTAACCCTATTTTGGCCTCACTTTTTTTTTTCTTCTTATGTGTTTCTGGTCATTCTTTAATTCTAAAGACATTTATCAGATATCAGGGAGGGGGTTTTTGACAAAATGAAATTGATTACAGAAGTACATAGCAAACAATTACACTGTTCTTTTTTATTTTCCCGAGTGCATTCTCTGGGTTGATTTTTATATTAGTTGCACCACACATTTCTACATGCTTATATAGATATTAATGCCCTAGTTACATAGGACCCAGATCAATACCATCTGGACATTTAAGATACTTAACTGAAGTTCTAATTTGACCTATGTTGCCTCCATAATCAGTAAAGAGAAAAGGCATCCCTTGAGAAATGCTTAGGTCACCTGAGATTTGAATTGCTGCTCTTTTAACTGCAGAATGTACCCCTAAGCTGGGTACTTGATTAAGTGACTTAAGTTAGAGAGAATCAGCTTATCATGTCTGCTGCCTGTCATCTGCTTTTCAAGGATACAACATTAACTGGGGACTGGTATGTACAGTTAAGGCTTTGTGTAGAGCTCTGTGTGGTCAGAGATTTTTGCCCAGAGAACATTGGTTTACAACCCAGCTATGGCACTATAATAGACAGAAGCAGCTGCTTAGGAAGGGCTTAGTTTTCAATTTACCAGTGAATTTTCCTTTGGGTGCTCTCCTTGTCATATTTTCCTTGAGAAAATACTGGTGTTTATATAAACGCATGGGATGTTTCCGTTACAATTAATATGTCTGTATAAACTGCCAAGCTACTGTCTCTGAAAGAAGTCAACGCAACACCTTTTTACAAGTGTTTTTGGTTTTGCTGTCTCCTGGTATCTAGTGTTCATCATTTCTAATAGGCAGGTGACCTCAGCTATCTTCCATCCCCGAATTCCCTGGAAGTGATACCTCTGGGGCATTACAGTGCAGGAGATGAAGAATTTTTATAACATTTCTTGAAATACTATTTTTCACACCAATCATATATTTTATAAGAAAGAAAAATTAATAAAACTTTGGATTTTCTTGGTGAGACTCCTTGGAGTGGAACCTTAAAAAGAAATGTATTAATTGCTCCACTATGGGTGCTGAGTGACAAAGTTTAAGCTTTTCATAGCAATGTGTCAGTGTTTCCAAAACAGAAGGATTATACCATTTAATTTTTGTTTATCTATTTATTTTTTTTTCCTCTAGTTTTGCATCTCAGAGGGAACTGTACTTGCTTACTACACTCATACTTGTTTTCTTTGTGAATTATTGCTAAACTGAAATACCTCTGTTTGGACTTTCACATGGGATCAGTAGTTCTGTTTCCTTATGTCCCTCTGGAGACCAGCTTCCCTAATGGACCATATGAATTTGATATCAGAGAGGAAATTGAGAGAGACAAGATATTCTGTTGTGATGCCATACAAAGCTGTAGTTCATTTTGTATGCATGTTTTTTTTATTTACTTCATGACTTCTCTCTGCTTTCGGACTGCATCTTCCACTCAACCCTGTTTTTTATCCAAAATAAAGTAAGCTATCTCTCCTCATTAAAGATATGTTTCAGTTAGAGTATGTGACATATAGAAAAGAGTATGAAGCATCAGAATTACCAGACATGCACAGAAGTGTGTGCATGGCAGTCCTTCCAAGCTCAAATATCGTAACATCAGTCTGAAATAATTTACTTTAGATTTCTCCACACACATACACAAATCAAGGTCATATATAGGAAATTTATGTTAAAGTTGTTTTCCTTTTTCTTTAAATTCAAAAGCATATTCTCCATTGTGTTCTCTCACTGATTGTAATGCTTTCCCAGTGTAGAGATCTGAATACAAAAGAAAAAATGGAAGAGTAATTTGATTTTTCTTACTGTTTAGAGAAGCCACCGAAAGCTTCATACAAAAATTCAAGTTTTTCCTATTTTATTTTTTTTATCCTCAGGACAATTCTCTTCTCATTCCTTTAGTGTACATCAGGATCATGATCCTTTATTGTATTTTTAATGATTCTAACATATTATTATGTAACTTTTTTTATGTTTTCCTAACAAAAAACTGATAATTTGCAATTTTTTTTTTTTTTTAACCTTTATAACAGCAACAGCTCTACATTGGCTCAGCCACTGGAGTTTCACAGCTTCCTTTACACCGCTGTGATGTGTATGGAAAAGCATGTGCTGAGTGTTGCCTTGCAAGAGACCCTTACTGTGCCTGGGATGGTTCATCTTGCTCACGTTACTTCCCCACTGCTAAGAGGTAGGGACAGTTTCAGATGTCTGCATCGTTTGCTATTTGTTTTAACTGATGGTCTCAATATGACCAGAGGGCTTTGGAGATTTTTCATGGGATGGTTAACTGGAGCCCTTTCTCTTCCAAAGAAAACATAATTGTGGGAGTTACAAGCAATGTGAAGTCTTGGTTGATTTAAAGTGAACACTGCTGCTTCTTGGGTTGGATTAAAAAGCTGTCCTAAGAAAACATTCAGAAAAGAGTTGTCCCTGAAATGGATTCAAAACTTTATATTCAGTAATAAAGAACAAAAAGAAAAACTCCTTTTCTCTAACATGAGAAGGGGTCTTGATATTAAAATAAAATAACTACTTGCCCAAGTAAATTATCCTGCATTTTCATGAATTCTAATTCAAAGGAAATACTTATAAAGTGCTTGGACATTAATGGAAACTTATTTTTTAGTGATACATAGCATTATTATTATTATTATTCAAAAGTATGATTTGTATGTGTTAATGTATGTTGAAGTGTTACCAGAGCAGAACAACCACTGTTTTACATTCACTCTGCACTTATGCTAAAGGCTTTGCAATGCAGAAGTTAAGGTAAAACAGGCTCTGCAAGTGAAAAATATATTTTTTATAAAAAATTTACAAGTCCTAGTTGTCTGATCTGAAGATTTAAAAAAATATTTTCTTTGCTTGCCTTTATCTCTGAAATTCTTTCTCTTAAAGTATATAAGCTAGTAACTGAACAGTTCTTAGCTACTGAAGTAGAAATTAGGAATGACTGAACAGATAACCACTTGCAAATAAGAACAGACGTTGATGTAGTGTTGAGATTCCCATGATAAATTGGTTAAAATGATAAAAAAGTGCTTGCATTAAATCAAATATGCCAAACATCTTGCAACTAAGAAGAAACAAGGAATCCAAGGCTTTATATACGTAAGAGTTTATATACATAAAATTAATGTAGCAAATACTTGATTGAGAATGTCAGGACTCCAAATTCCAGATTTGGATTGTTTGTTGCAGGAGGTGAAAAGTGGTAAAGGGTGGGAAGTAGCATTTGTGCCACAGACTTTTCAGATGGAGGGGATTGAAATTTCAAGGTTTGCATTATGGTGTATCCTAAACTAATGCTACTGACAAAAGAAAAAGCTGCTTATGGGACATCAGGTTCTATTTTTGCACCAGGAAGCAGAATTTAAGACAAGCTTTTTGTGAAATTCTTTAGAAAATAATTAAAAATGAGAAACTGAACCCATCTCAAAAGAAGAGCTGGTCAAACTTTCTCATTTGTATGGGCTATATTCAAGTTTGTGGTGGGAGCTTGGTGGTTTCTCTGTAGGAGGAAGAGGAAAGAAAGGAGAGGGAACAGTGAGGTTTTCAAATAGAATCTAAGAGATTGATTTGATCTGAAAGTTTTAGGCATTAGAAGTCAGTGTGGCTAAGTACTGCCTCTGAGTTGATGGAGCGAGTAAGGTCAGGAATCACTGAATCACTCTTTTCTGCTACCTCCCTACTGATCTTTATCCCTGAACTTCATCCTTTCTCAGGATTCACTATCACCCATTCCTACTCCCAGCCCATCTCAAGACCCGTGAAGTCAGAGGACATTATCCTGTCATTCATCTGCTTACACTGATGGAAGAAATAGGGCTCTTGGTCTTTTCTTTATCCATCTCTCCAACATTAAACAGCAGACCGAGCTCACTGTTGTCATCAGGGGTAAAGGGACTGGGACCTCTTCTTACAGGGATTAAGGTGCAGGGTTACTGTGGCTAAACTCGGTTGCACACCTACAGAAAAACCTTGGGGTGCAGAATTTACTCTTCTTGAGGCCACCACTATGAAAGAAAAAGTAAGTCCCAGGAGGCTGGAATCCTGACAATGCATTCAGAAGAAGCTGCTGTCCCCTACTACTTCCCCCCATTTTTCCCTTGGCAACAGCAGCAGCAGAATAAAGTTCTGTGTTACTGGGGGAGAGGATCCTCTGTTTACCTGGTACCTGCTGTACCACTGCCTCAAGCCAGCTTTGAATTCATCTGTAACGAAATCAGCATTGCTGGAAACAGCTTAAATGTCAACATTTTCCTAATAATGAATCCTTGTAATTTTAGGCTCCAGAAATATTGGGAAAGTTGAGTCCTGAGGGCATTGCACAGATGCTTTACTAATAATTGGTTTGGGGGTTTTGTTTTTGTTTGTTGTATTTTTTTTCTTCTTTTTTTAAAGATGAGCTTTTATGAGCCATGATTTTAATTTACTTTTCTTTCTTTGTGTATTTTACAAGTTTAAATGACAGTTCAGAGCTCCTGTAGTGTGACCACTTAACTTTACCCCATGCAGATGTGTTCTGGTTCATATTTCATAAATCATCATGTTGATACAATGGTGATATGTGTGACATTTTCCTGAGATTCTAACTAAACATCTCACCCAAACTCCATTGACAGTAATATGAGTCTTTCCACAGACTTCTTTTCTACAAATAGTACCCTGTAAATATGCTGTATTTTAAAATTTAGGAAGGAGTAACAAAATGTTATGGTTTCTTATGCCTTGGGTGTATTTTTATTCTTTGGTAACAAGTAATATGAAGATGATACCTGAAATCAGGATTAGTACATTTTTTTGAATCATCTATCAATCAAGAGAAAATTCCTTCTTACTAAAGCATGCTAAGATGTCCTAACTAATAATTTTAAAGAAGTTTTTATTAAAAAAAAATAAAAAATGCACATTCTGACTTTTTTCCCCAAAAAAAACCTGTTGCCATATTTCACACATATAATTTCAGGTTTATCATTTCAGTAGTTTTCAGTGGGAAAAAATATGATTAAAACCTTTTAGCCAAGAGGAGTCAGCTGTGCAGTTGACGGTGCCCCTGTGAGAACTCTTAGTATGTGCTGATGCTGGGTGCTTAGTGAGAGTCTGCAAACAGGGCTAGTGAACAGAAGAGAGATGGTCTCTGCAGAACAATGGCTTTTTAAAAATATGGGCTGTTGTCACAAGGGAGTGACCAACAGTGCTTTTTACAAGGCTACTTGACTTTTGCATATCCGTTGCTGGATGCCAGTAATCTGAAATCACAGCATTGTTCAGCAGCCTAATCCTCTTTGTTCTCCTCTAATTTTGCAAGCCCTCAGGCTTTCTCCGAGTCCTAAAGTAAAGTGCTCACACTTGAAACACATCTTTGTTTGCCTTGTTCTTTTTTCTTTTTTTTACATGAAACGTTTTTCTCAGGCTCAGTTGAATTTTGTGTTACAGCTATTTAAATAAAAATAGGAGCAGACAAAGAAAGAACAATAAATGCAAAATAAAAGTGTTTTAAAAAGCTTTCTTCTGTGAAATACAGCTTTTTTTTAGCACAGATCAATATGTTTTCCAAAAAAGCCAGTGGAAATCAAACTGCAGAAAGAACATGCTATGTTAAATGGGCATGCAATAAAAGCTAGAACCCAGACTTAAGCTACAAAGGATGGAATAAATGACATTTCAAAATCTTCCTATCCAAGTGTTTTATTCTGTTGATTCAAAAGACAAAGCCATTTGCAACAGTTTTGGAAAAGGTTTTATCAGAAACGTTTTGGTGAGATCTGTAGTGGCTGAAATGATCTAAGTATTTTAATTTAGATTTTGTAGAAAATGTGGCATTTTGATATTCTTTCAAAGCCATCTATCCTAACATTTCATCTATCTAAAAGGTGCCATAATACTTAAAGTATTCTGTACTTGCAGAAAAGCTGTAGCTTCTTCATGTTTTTGATGCATGTTAAACTGTACTGTATATACTTTGATCCCTTAGCAGTCCCTGTATCTACGAATTGAGTAACAAATTTGTCTGTGATCAATATTGCCAACACAGTTAAAATAAACTTCATAGGCTCAGTGCAAGAGATTTGTATTTAACAGTTTCTGAAGACTTTACCTGTAAGAGTAAAGGATGATTCTACAAACTATGATAATGCATAGAATATGGTAGTAACAGTATGATTTCCTTCCTAGTGTTATTTAGGTGCACTTGTGACCTATGTAATTATATATATGCTCCATTTGTTGCTCTTCAGTCATGACAAATGTGAATGCTGATCACTGAGAAGGTCGCTAACAGTTTTCAAATATGGTATTTGCAGACGTACTAGACGACAAGACATCCGAAATGGAGACCCACTTACCCACTGCTCAGACCTGCAGCATCATGGTGAGTTATGGGTATGACTGCAGTACAACTAATTTGTATGTAATTTGCAGACTGTGCATGAGTAGAGTAGGAAACATATGAATGATTTGTCTTGAACATCTGCAAAAGATGAATGTAATACATCATTATCCTAATTTAGATTGCTTATAATGGCCTGGATCAGACACTAAAGACTGAGGAGTTTTTTTGGTTTTCCTCAAGTTTACAAATTTTAGCATTTTAATTTTTCTGCGTTGTGTACTTGATAATACCATACTGTCAGGCTAGGCATATTATGTCAGAAAAGAGTCATATCTCCTTCAGAACAGCAAGAACTATGTACATGTTGCTTCCTATAGTTTGCATAGGATGATAACCAAACACATAATTAACTACTGTGGCTAAATACGGAATGGTCTTTGTTGTAGGTGCCACATTAGCAGCCCTTAAGACTAGGATGTTCCTTGCAGTAGGCCTGTCCCATGTGCTTTCAGCATGGGTTTTCTTTGACATCTTTTGGGTTTGGTTTTTGTTGGTTGCTTCATTTTCACAGTGTATTGACCAGATTTTGCTTTCTTGAATTGTTCGGCTGATAAACCTCACAGTTAGTAATTTGTTGCCGAACTCTTCAGAAGATCTTCACTCAGAAAACGAAAAATGTCCATTTTTCTGTAAGTGAAGACAACACTTAGGCAATACTTCCCTCTGCTGGAAAAAAATGATTATTCATGTTTGTGGTACTTCTATGATAACAGTTAAACCACTGGACAGTGGTTTACTTCTTGATTGTCAGACTCAAGACAAGCTACTCAGAGGGGAAAAGGGTTTGGAAAAGTACATGAATAGACTATGATCAAAATGTAGTTGCCACATTTTGAGAACTCATGAATGTATAGCTAGTTTAGAATTGAACTAGTCAATGTGAACTAGTAGAAAGTTCACAAATTTCCAATTGCATGATATTTAGTAGTGCTTATACAGTGCAGACGAGACCACTCATATATTGGGGCTGAGATGACATTTTCAGTTGCCCAATAGGAAAATTTCACCGGGCACTAAATGTGAATTTTATTACCAGGAGAAGCATGTCTTAGTTTTACTTTTTTACTATCTGAACATTTTGCTCATGAGTAAAATGGTGATCTGGGCTACCACATCTCCAGTTTCTTGAACATTCTCTTGCCCTTGCTAGCTGTGCTTTATGCAACTGTTTGTCTGTTCTTTATCTTCATAGACAAGAAAAGGATTTCAAAACACTTTTTTTTTTATATCTTCCCATATTTGGTAAACATGTTTGTCTGAAAAGATATATTCTGTCCAAAGGGAAGAGAGTAATCCAGCGCAGTTTTTTTCATGACAACAACCAGGAGAACTCAGGGTCAGAAAAAAGCTATTATGTAGTACACCTGATCACTAGGAGCTTTAATACAACTTTGTCAAAATGAGCAGAGCAGGTATGAGACAAGAAGTCACTGAAAATTTTACTTTACAGTGAACTGAAGACAGAGTGTTTAGAAGAATCAGTAACTTACAAAAAATACCAAGGGAATGCAGTTCTATGTCAAAATGCAGTTCTCTGGCAAAATACTTAAATTAATGTTTTAGATTGACCTTGAGTGAAATTTTCTCTAAATTAATTCTGGATTGTAAATCTATAAAATTTTACTACATTTACTTGTCATTTAGACGTGATCATGCATTGTACAGACAGCTGGATGGTCCATAAACTTCCTATGCCAACTTATGCTGAGTTTTTTGCTCGGTTATGACTAGTAGTTTCCTGCACAACAGATGAAGAATCGGGTTTATCTATAGCCAAAAATAAGCTCCAGCAACCATTTACTACTTGGCTACACATTCTTTTGCAGTAACTGCCAGTTGATTCTCCATGTGAACCAAAGGAAACAAGAGAGAGGAACAATCTCTTAATTTATATATCACTTTTAAAGACATTGCAGAAACTTACTTTGATATCAGTTTGAAGCAATAATGCTTTTAATAAGGTTTAGGTAGCTCTTTCACTTTTGTGCAAATGTATAAGTACTATAAAATAACTACACAGCAACATTAGAGGGAGCTGAGGACACTTAGCTGTACAGATGTTTGGCCAGACATTAATGCTTAAATCGAAAAGTATGGTCACCTTTGTGTCAGCTAAAGAACAACTTTCTTTTTTGAGCATAACATACTAATGCTATCAAGAAATTAAACAAGTTCTGTTTTTTGAAGAATTTGTAAAGGAAGAAGCACCTTTTTTTAGATGATTTATTCTAGGGGAAGCTCAAAGAATCACTCTGAATTTAATTGTATAGTGAGATTCATTCATCTGCAAAGCAATCTTAGTATAAGCCTTTCATACTTCTTTGGTTATGTCAGAAATTATGTATTTAAAGAATATTTATCAGGGTAGTAAACTGATACTGCTGTTGGGTTCATTTTGGGAATTACACTCTCAGACAGGATTTTGGATTGAATTTCATAACCAACTTCATGACTTCTATGATTTTCTAATTCCTCCAGCTGCTCTTCTGAACTTCTCAGACTTTCATTCTTACTTCTAGTCTCTTCAGTTTCTCCCTCAGTCCCAGAGCTGCACTCTGATCCTGTGATTATTCCATCATTCTCCTTACTTTTTTGCACTCCACATGCTCAATATTACGTGAACTTTATAGATATTTCTGGAACTGCCTTCTGCTCCCTTAAATCATGGAAATGGAATTTGAAGGATCCCTTGAATCTTTCCTCTCTCATTGCATGACTGTCACCCATAAAATAATTTCTGGAGCTGTGAGGAAATTTAAAGGGGGCTTCTAACACTTTCCATGGTGATCTTTAACACACTAGAATGCCATGGAGCAGATCCAAGAAAATATTCAGAAGTTTGAAATGGCATCAGAGCATCCACCTTCAAGGCAACTTCCATGACAACTTGTGACTAGCTTCTTGGATACCAAGGAAATCCTAGGTACCTAAGTTTTCCAGCAAAAACTTCTCTATATACTTAAAAATATGCTACTGCTCATGGGCTGCAGAACTTTTGCCAAAGAAATCTCTTTTATTATCCTTTGTACTGATATTTAGGATCTAGAAGATGTCTCCTTGGATCTAATGAGACTAGTGTTACATATGCTCTGCTCCTGTATAATTCACTTGGACTATGCTGTGTTTAGGAAAATATAGTCATGTGGTGCTGCAAGCCACATAATGAGTAACCTGCTGGTTAAATCAGCTATTTAGGATGTGGGAGAAGAGGACTCAAAGTCCACTTAGACTTAGGAGATTGACTTGATAGCTTTACTTCCAATACAAGCAGCCAAATTGTGGGATTGCTCTTGATGAAATTGGGCCATTCTGCTACCATGATTCAAAGTTCATGGAGCCTGGGGAGGGGAATTGTAATAGAGCATGCATCCTAGGGTGAAATCCCTGTGTTTCCATCCTTTATTCTGGAAACCTGTAAATCTGTGTTTCACAGAAACACATTGCTGGAGCAGTAACGCATGTGTCCCAGGCTATAAAAGGGGACATTTCCTACTGACTGTCTTATGCTGCAGCCCTAGATGTGCTATTTGTTGTGGATCCCAGTTCAGATATCAAACTACCTCTCATTGACTATGTGAGAATCTTTGGCTGCCTGCTCAGCCATATGAATTCTGTTCCTAAATAGGGTGCCTAACTTGAAACAGAAGAGTCAGGATGTCAGTCAGCCATTCATGATGTTGAATCTGGACCCATGAGTTATCAGCCAATCATTTCCATTTCCAATCTTTATCTTATCACTTCTAGTTATATTCAGTTAATCTCTTCACATACTTCCAGTTCCTCTGTTTCATTGACATAAATTCACCCATGTTCCATCTCAGACCTTACCACTGGTACCCTTTGCTACATTTTCTTCCAGCTGTCTTACCCTTCTCTTGCTACTTTGCTTTCTAATTAATTCCTCCATTGCTCCCCATCTTCCTGGCCCAAAGCTGCACTGACATTCTTTATAGAGATGTGGTTTCTGAGAGATGTCATAAAAGTTGTTTCACTTAGTTATTTATATGGCATCCCACTTACTTGCTGGAAAGGTTCACAATCCAGCAGAGGAAAGCAAGCTAACCCATTCCCTATTTGTTTAGAGTTAGTAAACCATTTGGTGTTTCCTTACCAAGAACTGGGAAGCACCAGTTCCTATTCTGTCCCCCATTCCTTCTCCCATCCTCTCTCAGGGCTGCAAATCATTATGGAAAGACATATAATTGCTGTATCAACATAAACCAGGAGCTCAATTTTATTTTTACCTTTGGTTCACTCATCTAGCAAGCAGCCTGTGTTTGCTAAACAACATGGCCAATATGATAAAGGCACAGTGAAAGCAAACAAGACTTGACAAAGGATTTCTCTGAGAGGATTTTAATTAGACATAATTTTCTGTTAAAACATTCAAAAGAAGTTTCTTAAAGATTTCCAGTGCTGAAGATCAAAAGTGGAAAATGGAACAAAAGTGGAAAATGGAAGGAATGAACAATGGCAAAAAGACGGGAAACCCCATGAGATCAACACAGTGTTAAATAGCTCACCAACTCCTTCCTCCCCATCTACTCTCCAGGATTATTGTACTATTGCCACTTAAGTCCATAACAGCATTTTAAAGAGTTAAGGTGGAGAGTTGAAATATGATGCCTTACAGCCTCTGTGGTATTGGAGAAGAATCAAATGCCATATAAGTCCTATAGCTATGTGATATTTCCAGCAAGTTGATGAATATCTTGAAACATTGTTGTTACAAAAGGAAGTAATTTATTTAACTTTCTTTTTCCCCTCCCATAATGTCTGCTTTATTAACCTCATTACATTTCCATAAATTATATCAGTATGAGAGGAAATGATTAATTGAAGATTGTTTCCTCAAAAACATTATTCCTGGTCATTAACAGCTTCAGCAAACTGCAGTGCCATATAATCTAAACACATTATACTACTTTTAAATAGCCTCATGTTTTATTACTTTGCTCTAAAGTATTATGATCACAGAGCCCAGGAGGCATCATTACAAACTTTCTGCAACTATACTCCAAGTATTCTCACTGCATACAGTTTGCTATTAAAATTTTTGTTGTGTCCTAGATGTTTTCCTTGATGAATAATAATGAAGTTTACACAAAATTTCACAATGAAATTAATTAACTTCACATATTGAGATGTTAACAGCTGTTAGGATTTAAAATACAAAAATAATAATAATAAAAAAAAACTACCAGAGATCCTTACAAAGATAGAGATGTTGATGGAGATTTTCCAAATGGCATACTGATATGGGGAAATTTTTCTTTTAAACTGTTTCTTTAAACTGTTTCTTTAAACATTTTAAGGGAGCACAATTTCTAAAAAAACAAATTTACTTAGCAGTTAAGGTTTTTCTTTCCTGGTAATTTAAATTCTTTTTTTTTCTTTTTTTTTTCTTGCTTTACAGATAATCTAAGTGGTCAGACCCTGGAGGAAAAGATTATCTATGGAGTAGAAAATAGCAGCACTTTTCTTGAGTGCAGTCCAAAATCTCAGCGTGCTGTAGTCTACTGGCAATTCCAGAAGCAAAATGATGACCGCAAAGAAGAGGTATGGAAGGAAAAATAAAGAGATGCAACTACTCTTCTTTATGAAGATATACTTGAACCTGAGTCCTTCTCAGAATAATGTCCATCTGTATTTTAGTTTAGCAGAATTTCTCTGGAATCTTATATTTTCTGTTGTTTTTCACCATATTCTTACTCTTGTCACCATAAAATCCTGTAAGCTCTCTAATTGATTTTACAGACTGTTACATCAGAAAACATTCATATCCTCTCCCTGGTCAGCCTCCCTGCAAAACACACTGGTTTTCTATCAAATGTCTCAGAAATATGAAAAGTATAGCATGCTATCTAAGTGCCACTTAAAGCATCATACAAGGACTATTACAAAGACCTCAAAACTGCCTCTGAGAAAAATTCTAACTACATTCACCTAATTATGATGTTCGACAAACATAGTCTAACAGTAGCACTTCCTGTGTACTGCATGCTATAAGACTTTACTGCAGATAAGACAAAGACAGAATGAAGAACTGGGAACTGTAGTGGACACAAGGGTATGAAAACTTGTACATTTTTTCCATCAAGAACAATATTCATAGAGGTAAAACCACTGTCTTTCCCTGCTTGCATTACACTAAGCTGATACTTTATTTTTCTCTTTCTTTTTTTACCAACATTCTTATGTTACTACTCACGCAGGTTCTCAAGTCATGTTACTATCAAGCTAGGTCATACATACCTTAAAAGAATAACCTACTCTGGCAGGTAGGGAGATCAAGCTAGAAAATAAAAAGTCGTTTGTTGCATTGAAGTATTTGTGAATATACCCAAACTACTCTGAAGCATTTATTTTCTTTTAAAGCATGTACTAAATACTTAGTTACATTTGCAGATTTAGATATTTTTGCCGTTTCCTTTGTTTGCATAATTAGTAAATTATTTAGAATTTATTCTGAGTGGAGAGAGAGCAGCAAACAGGTTTGTGCTCTTTCTGTCTGCAGTGATTTGTGCATTTGAAGAATGAAATTATATTCTAGATATTAATTAATTCAGAAAAATACAGTATTTTGGACAGCTGCTTTTTGAATATTCCATTTTTGAGATTTAATCCTTATCATTTCTTTGTAAATTCTCCACTTATGCAGAACCCACTTCTATGCATAAGGGCTTTTGTAGTAAGGAACAATAGGAAGACAGAGAACCTTTCCCACAAATATATCCAGGCTTGACTAAAATATAGTGATAAATGTGACCTCAGTAATAATAGCCAAATGCATCCTTGTTGACTCTGCTGATTACATCTTCTGTAATCTCACCAGCAAATGCATCTGACAGCGTTGATACAGATCTCTGTTCAGCAGCAGTAGGGACTAAGGAGTAAATTCTTAATCACCCAAACTCTTTGCAGTACATCAGTAGTTTTTCCAGAGTGTTTGAGCCTTCCATAGCTATAGATGACTGGCAAGGGATTTTCCATTCATTTGATTTTGAGGATTTTTGGCCAAGTTTTACCAGCTGAAAGGAGCAGTACTAAGGAGTTAGTATGGTTAGAGGATAATGCTGCACACATATTAAAGATAATTATTGAAATTATCACTTTTTTCCAATACAGATTAAAGTGGATGATCGCATGATCCGGACAGAACAGGGCTTATTGCTACGGAGTCTTCAACGGAGAGACTCTGGTATTTATTTTTGTCATGCTGTGGAGCATGGCTTCATACAAACTTTGCTCAAAGTGACCCTGGAAGTAATTGATACTGACCACCTGGAAGAGCTGCTCCACAAAGAAGAAGATGGTGATGCCTCCAAGACCAAGGATGCTACCAATAGCATGACCCCTAGTCAAAAGATCTGGTATAGAGACTTCATGCAGTTAATCAATCACCCCAATCTCAACACAATGGATGAGTTCTGTGAGCAAGTTTGGAAAAGAGACCGTAAACAACGCCGGCAAAGGCCTGCCAATGCACAGGTGAATACAAATAAGTGGAAGCACCTACAAGAGAATAAAAAAGGTAGGAACAGGAGGACCCATGAATTTGAGAGGGCACCACGGAGTGTCTGAGCTACATTACCTCTAGGAACCTCATCCAACTAGAAACTTGTATAGACAGATAACTGGAAAAAAATGCAATATTGGTGAACTTTTTCATGGCATTATATGGATGTTTACAAGACTGGAAAGTTCAAACAATTTCCACCAGGTTTAAATAAAATCCATTTCTAACATTACTAGTAAGTCCTTCCTTTCTGCTCTGATTCTAAGACCAGTAAGACCAGAGTTTCAAGGATGATAACTCACCCGGACCTAGCTTACTGCTCAAAAAGTTCTGCAAGTGT